ATTACCAATTCATCGGCTTAACAATGGCTTAAAAATAGAATAATTATGGAAAAAGGAAAATAACAACAAAAATCCACACAATACATACCTTAAAATAAGAATTTAACAAGTTCAATTATCAATATAATATTACATATACAAAAATATATATTACATTTAATTGTAAAGTTTGTTAACCCGTAATTGGCGACTGTATAAACCCAATACCTATCTCTAAAAAAATCTCTATCGTGAGTAAACGCAAACGCTGTTATAGGGACGTGTGACACGGAGTCTTAAGCAAAGTGGTATTCGTCACAGGGTTAGCAATTATCAATTGTATGATAACATACGTACCTATTACACTCATTTTCCCCCACATTGGGTATGTAGGTATGTTAAACTTATATACATACATAAATGGATGATTTAATTAGCAAAAAAATACAATTTATCAGGCCTAATCCCGAGAGCTTCTATTTGTCAAACGCACTTTCAACCACTTTATTAGTTGTTACAATTTTATTACGAACAACATAATAAATGAAAAGATTCATCCCAAAGACCGGATGCTAAGTATTACAGATTAGATTGCTATATACCAAGTAGACTGGTATTTATAACATTTGAGTCAATTACCTGAGATAAGTGTGCGGTAACTCGATGCAGGTAAACCTTGAGACTACAATCAGTTCACAAACAAAAGGAAGAGAATACTTATACTGGTATTATGAATAATTATTTATTATTTACATATTAATAGTGGAACGTCTCCCTATGAAGATCAGGTTTAAGGTAGCTATTGGAGCTAATCTAACAGTGGACGGAAAAGGGCTGATGATGGTGATGATTGTTCTCTCGATAAGTATTTTGGAAAATAGAAGCCAGCAGCCAATGGAAGTCATCCCTAAATGCGTTAGATAAAATATATCATCAAAGCCTGGAAACAGATGAATATAGGATAAGCACAAAGCAGATAAGTCTAGAAGAAAACGGGGACGGCCTATATCCAGCTGTTTTAAGAAACACATTCACAGATATTCTGCCCGAACTGGGATTATACAAATTATATTTGCATAACAAATAAAACGACCCTCTTTAATTTCTGAGTAAAAAGGTTGCATACGCGCAGAGGTGATCCATCATTGATCCCATTATCGTGTACCACCATGCGATGCAGCGACCAAACGCCGACCTATTATCAAAATTAATTAAAACTACGTATTGTACAGGTAATAGGCAGTACTGTAAACTAGAGAAAACAGTGCGGTATTGAGTTTCCGCGGTGAGTATGTAAATATTGACTCGTTTACAAATCCAGTGTGCGATGCGCTCTGCGGTACGATTGCGTTGGTAAATACAACGGTTGTAAACGGAAGCATCGGGGACTCGTCTTCCGGAGAGATTTATTTTATTATAGTATCGTTTAAGTGGCTATTGAACTTTTGAATATCATTGCGTTGCGTTAATAAACGTGTACAAAGTGATTAGACATTTTGTATGCTTATCTAATCTCTCACAAGATAAACATCTAATAACAATCGTGCCAAATATAAAGATGGATGTTAAATGCAAGTTCCACATAAAATCAACGAGTGAATGTGTTTCTCACGCAATCGTATGCTCGTTCCTACATAGGATACTGGGATACCGTGCATCAGAGTGGTTTTTAGTCAGTAAGAGTCAACTTCATCCACTCCAGGTGAGGGGTCTCCATGAAGATTAACCGCCTTGTCAGTAAGCAAATCCACTAAGAGAAAATATCTTGAGAATGGCCATAAGATCCCTTGTTTTCTATCCGTCATTTCGCGTAGGAGTAATAATTTGAACAAAACATTCAACAAATGAGGATGCAGCGAAATTGTTGATAAATGGTACTAATGCTCTTATTCAGGACATCAGCATACCTGGACTAATTTGTATTGAGTTACAAGTATAGAATTACTTTTGTAAGAGACTTGCAAATCGGGATTGGAACGGTTTTGTTTAAAAAACTGTGTGTAAGTATTTGGCTAATCCTTTTAAACAATAGTTGTCTCCTTGGTGAGAGTATTCATAAACTAAGGCCTTGATGAGTCCGAGGATTTGATAGGGTTGAAGGTTCAATATTCACAGCTATAGAAGTATTTGGTTGGAGTGATCATTAGATTATTAGAGTTTAACTGAATAATTTTGTCATGAAAATGTGTAATACGTCCTTAACCCTTATTTTAAATTTTTTTCGGTATTTTTGTTTGTTTGATAACCAATTTTATTAAATATCTAGATAGATAATTACCTATATAGGTAAGCTGTTTAAAATCAATAACGTAGCAGTTTTTTTAAACTTGCATTGACAGAAGTTCGATTTATTTTCGTTTTGTGTTTATTTGAATTCGTTGTGAAGTAATGAAAGTGAAGGTTGATTACCTGCTCGAAGTGGACATGGTATTGTCATATTTGGAAACTTTATTTATTTACTGCTGCAAGTTATTTGCTTCTTTTTTTCTTGTTCAGTGACCATGAGGCTTACACATTAACTGCCAATTTCAATAACCGATCTCAATTTAAAATCTTTAGATTAAGATCGATTTTTGACATTTTGAGTTCTGTAGAGTTACCGTCGAAAATCAAGATCGATCCGGAAATTTTAAGTAGTTATTGAAATCGGAAGTCAATCAAAATTTATGTAAAACGATTTGGCTGAATCCTGAATCATCACGGAGAAGGTTTGAACGTTAATCACCACGCTAGCTCAATGCGGGTTGTGATTAAAAATTATAAGCCCAGGTTTCCTGACGATGTTTTCCTTTACTGTTTGTCATTGGTGTCTAAATAATCTTCAAAAGTTTAATTATATAACATGAAAAAGTCGAATTGGTACTTGCCGTTGGTAGGATTCGAACCTGCGCCCTCATGCTTAAGAAACGGGCGTATCAAAGTTCCGGGGCACCACGATCGCTCGAAATATTGAATGATACCTAATAAACGATTATTTTAATAAAGTGATAACGATGCTACATTCCAGGTAGGACGAATTTCTTGGACTGTAGACGCCAACTAATTTTAATATAGACGTCAGCAGGAACATGTTTAAAGTAAGAACTGTCTCATATCTAACTACCCATACCGTTTTAAGACAAGTAAACAGTAAGTAATTAATACCCATTATAATACCTAATTACCAACGTGTACTGATTTACTATAAACTCCATTGACGCATGTTCTCCATGAACCGACATGGTACAATCCGCGCGTACTGAGCTCATTAACATTAACCAACACATTCCACACTAAATAACTTTATAGAACAATGTATTGTAAGCATTAATTAGTTTTCTTACTTTTTTACATCTAGCGTAAAAGGTTCCATTATTTTTAATTGGGTAGGTACCTATTACATTGTTTATTACCGATTTTTCGAATAAATTAATAATTCTTTGTTGTCTGCCTCGACCCGAGGGTTGAGGGTCGCAAGAGTCCACCGATCAATCTACAGGTGAATCTAAGATGGATGGAGAGTATGGTCTATTCGATACTACCTACAGTAATGCAATGAACTGGTGCCTATTAAACATTCGCTTTTCGAACGCAGCAGATTCGTATAAGATGTTGCGGGGAGCCAGTGGATACAGGTGGCGTGGTACGACAACTCGTCGTTCGCCGTGGAGGACCAAGGGGAAGGCCTTTGCCCAGCAGAGGACGTCTTTCGGCGGTTGATGATGATGATGATGATGATTATAAGACATACTGTTGAAATCACCAATCCGTCAATTATTGCACCCCGATTAATGTTTAAATATTTTCCGAGGAAGGTGACTTCTTCGCTCAACAGTCGGCATTTAACGTATAGGTTGTTGATGATTATAAAGATGGCCTTCTAACATTTTTTTCTATATTCCTGGTGATTTGTTCCTTGATCGCAAAAAGTAGGTCAAGACTCAGAATATTACTCAAGCCTTAAGTCGTTCAGATTCACAACGGATTTTTTTCACATCGGAATAGCAGAACAATTAATATTAGGTAGGTACCTATACAGATCCCTTTACTTGCAAAGCATACCCTACAATGTACCTCTATACCTACTTTATTTCGACTACGTAAGGTTGAAAATCTTATAAACGATTTTTACTGTTGGTGTACCTACTTTGATGTGCTGGTCGCCGCATCTAATAAGGGTAAAACATTCTCCTTGGACATAAGCCAACCCTGTATTCATAGTTCTTAGTGGGTAGTTGGAAGATCTGCGAGGTTTTCTCTTGTAAATTAGGTCATAATCTCTTTCATCTCACAATTTAGAAGACTTCTGAAGAATTTCTTCATTAAAAGCACTGAGACATTTTTCACCTCTTTATTTTGGTAGGTTGGTAGCATAAAAACGTGAGTAATGAGTCAACTACTTCTTTTTGTTATTTTTATTTCAATGTTAATGCTAAATAAGTCTCTTAATTACTGTAAGTAATTAATGATAGGTGCCTTCCATCACGTCTGTTTGCAAGTAATTTGTGACCAAAGAATAATGTTATCATACTAAATAATAACTTTTTATTGTTATTTATTCTCATACGTACTAAAGAAATATATTTTATTTAAAAACCGTAAGTTAATTTAGATTAATAGGTAACAGCGCCATCTACCTAAAACACACAGCAATTCATTACTGCACGCCAGTGTCTTCCCAAGTACAACTTCTAGTCAACAGATGGCGCTAACACTAAGTTTTTTTCTATTTTGACAAATCCCCTTCGGCCACACGCGGAACGCCACAGTTCGGTAATGGCCGCCGCCGGGGTGGTTGACTCGCGCCGCTGTCATTTCGACACGCGTTGATTGGTTGTTTACTTTATTTACATCACAATCATAACCAATACAATCACAGTGTAAAGTGTTTATTGTGTACGACGCTTGTTGAATATACGTTTGTAAACGTAAAAGTGAATATAAGGAAAGTTTTTGAACGCGTTGAGCGGCGGATCGCTCACCAAGCTTTGGTAGAATGCATCATCCAGTGTAGTGAGTGATAGTCAAAGTTTCCTGGGCCAATGCTGGGCTACAGAGGCGCGATGTGTAGCCGGCAGCACACCCAGGCGTGTCTCAACACGTCCCTGTCCATACGACAGGAGATACAGAGATTTGAAAGTGTGCATCCTTCTATCTACGCTCTTTACGACCTTGTGGAGTTGGTACCTGATCCATTGCTGGCCCAGCAGATAAGGGATCACGTCGTGGCTATAGAAGGTCGGTACCAGTAGATTGTTTACAAGTTAGCGTGCAGTTTCTGCGGAAGTCTGATTTGTTTATACTTAGATAAATCACGTTGGATAACCTAATAATGCGCAGCCTGTGTTTACGATTGGCACGAGTGACGGAATAAAAGTATTGTGGTACAAAGGTACTTCAGTTAATATTACTCAACGTCTTTACTACCTATTTTTGAATCTGACTCTACTTACGTACCTATTGGTTCGAAGTCTGTTATTTATTATTGTTTGCGTGACTCAAATCAACTGTCAAACAAAACTCATAAATTCTGTTCATTTTTGTGGATTTCTTCCTGACAATGTTAGTTACTACGAGTCTATCTATCGATTTTTTATTTATGAGAACCTTGCCGTACCTACTCGAAAGAAGACTAGTCGGTGTGTGAACTATTTCAAAAATTATAAAACAACAACATCGATATTTAATTGTTGACAATGAGATAGCGATTAATAATAAACATTAATATTCATTCATTCATACTTTCTCCGGTTTTTACGACATCGATGCAAACCCGATCCTTAGTTGATGGCTCGATGGCATCCAGTTTTTTGTATGGCGAATTACCTCGTGTTAATTGGCTGAGGAATTTAAAGTATCAATGTCAAATTCCTATGTGTAATTTGTTCAAGACCATACCAACCGAGTTAGGTAGATTGATTTTGGAAAAATACTGTTTACTTATTAGTCAATTCTGGACAAGATATCAATAACTAAATCGAAAACGTGAGTAACCGACATGACCTACAATAAGTAAATTACCTACTCAGATAAGTATGAAATACTGAATTAATTTCTTGATAGTCCAGAGGTTAAACGACACGCACGACAATGTCCAATAAGTACGAGGATTTTGTTACTTCTTCAAGTAAAACACACGTTCTGAACAAACTACTTAGTTTAATGTTCAAGGATGATGACATGTATGAAGAAACATATCTTACAAGATTAAACCGCAACCGCTCTAAGCAAGAGATCAATAACTTTTTCAAGCGACCGCCCAGTTGCCCGAGATTCGGGTTTTAATTAAAATATTCTCAAAACATCGCAAATTCAGTTGCGTTAGCAAAAGAGAGCAATGAAAAGACCAAACCGTGGCATTGTGTTAATGTTCAGTATGGCAACTGTAAGATTGGACTCTAAATACAAATTCAACTTCCTTTAAACTATCCTATACCTACTATGAGCAAAAAATAGGCCACCATGTGTGAAGGATAAACTTCGGCGTCTCCATGTCTGCAAACAATTTCACGATGAAGATAAAAAATATCCCGTTAGCCTGTTCATAATTGAGAGATTACTGGAAGGTCCACACTTAACGGTGGACGTTTAAGGTTGATATAATGGCACATTGAGCGGTTAGCTATTTAAAAATTCCACAGGGTCTAAATCTACGTGAGACGGTCCATTGCCCCTATTCCCTACTCCCTAAGACACATACATTGAAAGAAATCTCATTTCTTGCTTGTTAACCTAGTTTGCACGTATCTCGGACTGTCTTCATTTCCGAGTAAAACTATGAGAAATGTCTTCAAGCTAGAATGTTTATTACAAATAGATACGAAGACTAATAGATGCCATTATACATCATTAGTAGTGCCTATAGCCTATAGGTGACCGAAAGACCTAGCTATCTCAGTCAGACTGTTTATTTCTAGGTTAACGATTTACGACCAACCCGAGCTGTCAGTAACGGCCGGGTATTTTTAGTCACGTTGATTTGAAATCAATAAAGTGGAAATTAGTGAGGCATTTGCATGATTTATTCCCTTGTGCTTTATGTTTTAATGTGTTGTAATCACCTAAGTAGGTATAATGCACGAGTACAACGTATGACGATTGTATAACGTATGAATAAAACAGTTAACAATACCTAGGTACCTACAATGCGTTTTAACTCGTCGAGTACCGGTTTTATAGACACAATTAAAGAACAATAGGTCGCGGTCACCGGTGACCGCTTGGTGTTTGACAGATTAATATTGTGAGTTTTCAGTTTGTGTCTGTTTTTATCATGAATCATCTGAACTGTCTATCTTTTTAGAGGTTGTCTTATAACTACTCTCTTAAACTACATCGATGTTCTATCAAAGTGTTTATCACCATCTTAAGCTGTCTATCACTTTTGTCCTACTTAGCGTTATCCAATCCTGGCTGTCTGCCAGGGTCCAGTTATCCTCCTCCAAGTCTTCACACAAACATGACATTTTCAACCTTCATCATCGAAATTAGACGCTCTAAATTTCCAGAATGCATTTACAAGATATTCTCAAGCAAATTAAGGTCAAAACTGTGCACTGGTAATCAAAGGAATTCTGTTATTACTAAGCATAGTTTAATCTCTTGAATAACTTGGTGTATACTACTGTACTAGTTATTGCAATTATACTAAGAATTTCATTCTCGGAATACGTCAAATGCTTGTCTGAAGTAAACACTAACAAGCAAGTAATTGAACACCACTAGTTATTTCTTGATTAAACCCTTTCTTATTATACTAACTCAAGAATTAAAGTAAAACAACTATCAACTCGTCAAACTATAACAAGTAAAGGTATTGTCAAACTTCTGATGGAGTAATTAGGATGATTTTAAACGACGGTTACTTAATTCATTGGACTACAGAACTTTCATCTTTTGTATTAAAGTTTACGCCATAAATCCTTGAGTTTCAATCAGAAATCTGTCTCTCGACATTATTAACAGTAAAGACGGTCGTCAGTAGAAATTTTCAACAGGATTCGAATTTTATATTCAGGGCAGACACCGCATAAAATGCCTTTTAAAAATCTCTGGTTAGAATTCCAGTCCTTATCCATTTCCTTCATCAAGTGCTACAATTGAACGCCTCAAGCAATGCAACCGGCGAAATGTAGGTCAGAAAATGCAATCAGTGCTCAACAATATAAAATAGATGAAGCTATTTGCTCACCTGGGACTGGGAGAAATCTGAAATGAATCAGTTGCTTGTTTCTACTTGGCTGTAACTAAGAGGCAGCTCAGTAAATGGGCAAGTGCTGTATTTTTGATGAGAGAACTCATTTTAGTTGTTTTATTTTCTACTGAAGCGCAACAATAATTACTATTCCGCTTTAACTATATATCACAGGTGAAAAATTCTCTAACATTTCCAATTCAACGGATAATCTTCAGAGATTATTCCAATATGTGGAGTTAAACCCTACGTATGAACTCTAAGCCTACGATATGCAAGTTTACAGCCTGACTGAATTTTCAAATTCTAATTAACATCGGGATATCCGCACTCATACGGTGAAGTTTCATAGTGTAATCAGTACTATCTAACCCATTGTCTTATAAGCAAATATGTTCAATGCAATAAAAGATGAATGCAGAACAATAAGCAATAACACAGTTACTGTTTTATCTCTAGACTTGGCCTCGAAAAATCCTTGGCAATTGCGATCTTGACATTTGACTTGGCAAGTGCGTTCCGTTGCGGCAGTGTTATGTCGGTGGTAAGTAGGCATCGTCCGATAAGTGTCGGCAACTTGCCAGCGCACCCTTGAAAAATTTGAATAATGCACTCCACGTTGACGATGGGCCAATTATGCTTAGTGGCTTATGCTACCCTGGTTCAGCTTGCGGGTCGAGTAGTTTTATGATGTTGTTTTTTACTTTGTTTAAGCTGATATAATCCCTCTGCAGTAGCAGTTTTTCCGATACTTTCCTAGTTCATTGAAATGGTACTTTATCGATTTTAGTATTACTCTTATTGGACATGAATGTATCTTGGAGGAAATGAAGGCCAAGTTACCTATTTTCTTGAAGGTAATTATGTGGGAAGTTAATTAATACTGTGTTTTACTTGATTGTTTTCATTAGCCTTATTTACCTATTTTCATTACCATTAATTGCTACGTGGAAAATAACCATAAAATAACCAACCGAATAAAACAGATAATGTAGATTGTTAAAACTACCGCACAAAAAAAAAACAGGATTACTTAACTATATTACTAGAGGCTTTCACATTAACTGCCTATCTAGGTATATCATTAAAATTTTTGACATTGAAATAATCTATAGGCAGTAGCTTTAAATCTAGTCAAGATGAAGACAATAAAATATTTTTTTATAAGATACAGACCTATTTGTAAATTAACAACGGGTAACATTGACTCTTTCTAGAAAAAGTTGCCACGATATTCGTTTACTATTACTAACTACCAAACTATTAATTATATAATAATTTGCACAATATATTTCTTTATCACCCCATGCTTATCCGGCCATTTCCTGTCAATATTATAATGATTCAGAAGGAAACGGACCATGATGATAGCAGTCTAATAATAAGGAGAAAACCATTCGATCGATACTGGACTGCAATTAGCTGTGATTTTGTTTTGTTCTTTTATCTGCACTCGACAAGATATAACACGAACACGAAGCGTAGGAAGCTGACAAAAATGGCTTGACAATGGCTTTTGAACTTCAAACAAAAGGCCCTGATTTCATATTGAATATTTTTTATTTCTGACCTTCATGGTACACTGCTGGACGTTTTGAGAGAAATGGTCATAGTATACACGTATGACAGGATTCAGGTTTATCAGGGAGCGGTGTTATTTTATCTCTATCTTTGTAGGCCCTTAGGTAGCTCTAACGAAACCCATGTGGTGGTGTTTTTTTATGGGATAAGGGCGTAAACGAGCAGACGAATCACCTGATGGTAAGCAATCGGCATCACCCATAGACACCTGAAACTCCAGAGGCGTTACAAGTGCGTTACCGGCCTTTTAGGAATTTGAGAATTGTGGGGGATTGAGGAGACTAGGAAGTGCGAGTAATTGGGCCTCCGGTAACCTCACTCACACAACGCAAGCGTTGTTTCACGTCTGTTTTCTGTGAGGCTGTGGTATCACGCCATTCGTGCCGAAGCATGGCTCTCCCACACTTACAAACATGGTGGTGATAGGTGTGGTGACAAATATATCCTACTCTGCCGTCATCATACTTCTTATGTTTG